GGCCGCATACAGCCATGGTTGCAGATTCTGTTAGGAGCATCGTCCATTTTACAAACCTTGGTGGGAGTTTGAAGACATGTAGACATTATTTTAGGTATGGCCAGCTAACACAGTCATACGCCTTTTTCTGATCCAAGAAGACCAGGGCACCAGTTTCTTTATATTGGCAAATGTTTGCAACAGGGTGAATGTTGTTCCAGATTGAACGCTCTGGTATAAACCCAAACTGGTTGGGTGATAGGACGTCAGATGCAATTGCGTCTAATCTAGCTGCTAAAATTTTTGTTATAATTTTTGTGTCAGTGTTGGAGAGTGCAACTGGGCGCCAGTTGGCCAGGTACAACTTGTCACCCTTTTTATACAAGGTTATAACGTAGGATTCATGGCTTCCTGGTAATAGGCGTGTTTCCAACAAGCTCTGGTTCATAGACGCCAATAGGAGGGGGCGATTTGTTGAAAATATATTCTGTAAAATTCGTAGGGTATCCCATCAGGCCCTGGGCATTTCCTATGTGGTGCACCGCTAATTGTCTCCCAAATCTCCTCCCATATAATTAGGGATAGTATGTTGTAATTTGGTGGCGTACTTTGTATCTTGGCAGTTTGTATAAATTCTTTAATTTTTTGTGAATCTGTTGGCATTTCGCGATATAATTCAGTGTAATAGCGGTGTACTTCCGCCTTGACCTCCTCAGGGTCAGTTGCCATGATGCTGTTGGTCTTGCGGACCTGTGTGCACGTGGGCTGGTTTATGCAGGAATGTAATTGGCGGAAAAAGTGTGTCAAACAGGTTTCACCTTCCTTTATGAACTTACCTTTGTTTAATACTTTGATTCTGTGTTAGTGTTCAAAGATGAGATTGTTAAGTCAGGCAGATATTTCTGCCCATTTGCATCCCCAGTTGGGGCTATAGCCAGATCTCAGAGTATTTATTTCCAGGTGTTCTAGTTCCACCAAGGTACACTTGATTGTGGACGTGTCCACGGTGTACTTAAGTGATGCAATATGTCAGTTTTGTTTATTAAATCCTTTTGAAATTTTCCCATGTTCCAATGGTTTCTGAAGTGAATGGGGCTGTGAATTCTGGGTTCATAGCCTTGCTTTTGATCCAGTCAGATATTTCAGGCAATCTTGTATTTTCTGGTGAAGCTTTCTCAAGGTGAAAACTGTGTGTGGGATTGGGTTGGCGCTAACTGCACCATAACCAATCAGTGGTCAGAAAAATTGATCTTTTTTGTTGTAAATTTGGAGATTCTTGAGCGGTGGGATTGCGGGATGAGGATGTGGTCAATGTGACTCATTGATATGAGCGCTCCCTTGCGTATGTTGGGCCGCATCATGTGGGGAAGGAGTGGTGAACTGGGGGGAAGAGCATCCTGTAAGCCAAGAGATGCCTTCATTGTGCAGAATTCAATGTGTCCAGGTGGGTATCCCCTGGGATTAGGCCATCGATCTGTATCAGGGTTATCCCAGCAGTTGAAATTGCCTAACATAATGGTATCTGGTGGGAGGGTGAGAGTAGGAATGTTTTCAAAAATTTGTTTTCTCTCAATTACAGTGCATGGTGCATAGATACATGCTATTGAAAATATTTCCTCTTGGCATGTGATTATTGCTACCAGGACTCAACTGTGCAAGTGTGATGACAAATTTGTAATTTTGAATTTTTTTTGTTTTGGATGATCACCCCACAATGAGACGTCCATACTGATTGTGATGGTGCGACCCTGGTTGACCAGGATCCTTCTTCCCCTTGTAGACAGTAGGTTTCTTGGATGGCCAAGATGTCTACAAGAGGTTTTCACAGGAATTCCAGCTTTTGGCTTGGGACATATGAGCCCTGGCTCCCGCGATGTTTAGCATCCCTATTGACACTGAGGTGCCCATGGCGCCTCAGGAGCGGTGGGAGGGCCCTCTGGCTCTAACCCACCACAGCTCATTTTGGCCATGCTCCGCATCTGTACTCCAACTCTTTCACTGCCATTGTTGGTTCCCTTGATCTGACCCAATGATTCAATGGAATTGCAGTTTTTTGCATTTGCATCAACTTTTCCTGCACAGGTCTTGTGTTGATTTGATGCGGATTGTTGATTGGATTTTATATTTTTGAGGTTCAACTTTGGTAAATTGTGCACCGCATTTTCGCCCAAATTGTGGTTGCATTGTTCCTCAGTATGAACATGACTGATGTCGCTTTGTGACTCAGTCAGGTTACTGTGAAAATTTTTGACCTGGGCATATTGTTCTGATTGGTTGGTTCAGTGAATATCCAAAATATCCTCCCAAATTTATCTGGGGTTGATGGTGGACTCCACGTGTGCCGCCGCTTCAGCTGCTGCTCACTTGTGGGCTTTTTGTGCCACTTTACGTTGTTTGCTTGTAACTGGGTCCACGATGAAGTATAGTCCATCTTCACCCCAGTGGAATGGGTGGTGACCATCAGTTATTTTGGTGAAGTTTTCATTATCTTCATCCATTGCTTCCTCACAATAATTATTTTCCATTAAGCCCTCTTTCACAGGGCATGTGTGTTCCTTGTGGCCCAGTGAGCCACAGTGGTTGCAAATGGGCAGTGCACATTCCGGTGTAACTTGGAATGTGGCTGACTGGCCCCCATCTTTGAAGTGAAATTCTGCTGTGCGGGGAATTCTGGATAAGTCCTCTTCCACTTCTGGGAAGGGGTTGATTATGGCGATAGCTTTGCCCGTGCATAGGTTGGGCATCAGGCAAAATTGCTGTAATTCAAGTTGCTGAATTTCTCCATAGGCTATGAGACCTTTGCAGAGATCCTCCTCAATTACCTTACAAGGAAGGTTGGTGGGGAGTGAGTCAAAAGAGAGGAACAAAGTTTTCACTTTGTTCCATCTGGTGCACACAGTGTGCACAATTTTTGCCCTCAGGGAGGGCAATTTCCACACAGACTTTTGTGGCAGCATCAGCTTCATTGGCTGTTTTGAAACCAATATTGATCCAGCTGCAGCCCATGTTGTTGGTGGCTACGTACACTGCATGAGGAAAAAGTGAGGGCTGTGCCTCACATGTTTTCTCCCACAGGGTGGTGACTCATCCCCAAGGAAGAGTCTGATCCTGTGCTCCACTTTTGATAAGGGTTGGTTGAACTGAGTATACATATATTGCGCGTGCTTTACAGTGAATACCATAAACCCAGACAGTGTCTGAGTTTGCAATTTCTTTGCGGATTGGGTTCCTGGTCCCCCTCCAGGGCATTTCTTGCCCTTAGTTGCACCGTTAAGTGCACCACTCGCTGCAACGCTCGCCCAGGTTGTATTATTTTTATTGATAAAGTCACCCATCTTTCCTGTGTGTGATTATCCAAATTTGCTGTTTGAATTGAATTGTAGTAACTAAAGTGATTGTTATGAGAAAGAAAAGCTTAGGGTTACAAACTTATTACTGCATCTATTACCCTTATCTTAGCTTATACTTATAATAGCACAACTGCTTCTGAAAAGATTATTTCATTTAATATAGAGACAATGTAGATGTTATTAATTTATGAAAGTAAAAGAGTATAACTTTACCATCTAGTACTAAAAAAAGAGTATAACTTTAATATTGTGATAGAAATTAAAACAAGACTTCTTGATCCAGAAAGTTACATATAGTTAGCATTTATAACATTTAGGCTAGTAATATTTATTGATACTACAAAGGAGATACTTTTTAATCTAATCTGTATATAAAATATCTTTTGCACAAAACTAAGTAATGATGCAGTGTATTTTGGAAAAAGATACATCAACAAAGCATGGTATGTGATTTAGAACTAACTGCTAATAAAATGAGGAATTTGAGACCTATCAATTTATACTCTGGCGGAAGATTTTTTATTAGCATGGGGACTGCTGCTAGAGTTTAATATCTAACTTAGAAATTGCTTATACTAACACTTGTTTATAATCCTCCACAATGGTAAAGTCTTTACCTGCTTAATTATATATAATATTTTTATATATTAATTACTATCCTATAGAATATTATGAAATAAATATGGTAGCAGCATTTGCTTGCCTAAATAAGCTTTAAATAACATTATCTCATTATGCCTTATCCATAATGTAATGACATAAGTTGCTGGGACCATCTAGTACTAAAAAAAATGACATAAGTTGAACCAAAGAATGTATATGTGTACTTTTTGAGTGATAATTTTTCCAAAGTAAAATTTTGTAGTAAAGGTAGAAAGAAAGCACTATAAATTTTCAAAAAAACTCTGATCTGATTAAAATTTGATGTTATAATAAGTAAGCCTTGATGATGCAATCTCAGATGGACTTACTATTAAGAAAAATCAACTCTTTTTTATATGTAACTGTTATTATTGAGGGCACTTTACATCATCTAACAATAAGATGCTGATGAACCCACCATCTTCTATTACATGTGGCAGCTAATAGTTCATATGCACTTTTTATACAAGTGTGACAATAAAATTAAATTGCAACTAGAGCATTATATATTCACTTGTTGACTTAACAAAAATAAGAAAGTTTTTCATTTTTAATCATAACTTAGAAATTAAAAAAGTAGTAATAAGTTACTTTTTTAGGTTAGATCTTATATTTTACTTGTTTGAACCCAGGCTTGCATATTTATTGTGCATATTTTGCAATATATACAGTATATAGTAAGAATCTTCCCTTTTAATATTTTAAGGGGAGGATACCCCAGTGGTAGAAAGGGACCTCTACCACTGCCTCCCCGAGTTCGATTCCGGTACAGGAACTTTGGGTAGGGGACGACTATGACTGTGTTGGCGTTGCGCACCAATGCCCTGAACTGAGATAGCGAATAGCAAAGGCGGTTCATGGAGTTCCTGGCCTATCATACGCCGCGCGTGGAGGTTTTCCGGATTTTATCCTCCTTTCCCATTCATTCGATTTCCCAATAATCGGTGCGGTATCGTCCCCAGGTCAGCCCACCTCAAATAAAAATTTAAAATTTTTTATTACTATAAAATTCAATCAAGATAGCCGTCAAGTTAAAATCACCTTCTGGGAATCAAACCCAAGCCACTTCTTTGGAAGAGAAGTATTCTACCATTATAATTCAAGTGCTTGTTTTTAACACTTTGTAAATATTTATGTCAACGATATAACCATTATTGTGGGTAAAATTTTTTATAGGAAGAAGGTGACAAGGGTGGTAGTGTGTTTTTATAGCAAAATTGCTTGCTATCTTGGTTCAAGGCCTCAGTAAATTCTTATTTACAAGAATGGTGATAAAAATATATACTCTTGATGCTAATAATGAACCTGATTATAAAATGCAACAAATCCATAAAACTATTGGTGAATTTCCATCACTATCACTAGAATTGGTAACAGCTTGCTCATGACTGTAGTTGAGTTTCTCAGTGAGATAAATCTATAATATATTTGCCAAAGCCCACTCACTGACTTATAACTGTATCTCAACAATGACAAGCCTAAAAAGATAAAACTTTACATAGATATTCACTAGATACTGTAGATGTGCAATAAGAAAGGATTTTTTAATTTTCACGGTAAAATAAAAAGTTTTATATGTAACAAGGGAAAATCATGTTTTTGGTTATCAGTATTGCTACGACTGAGCAGTTAGATATTTGGTTGATTCGATAGTTTAAATGTTTTGCCAAGCGGTTGGTGGGTTTGGGTTGATTAATCTATTTAATAAAACACATTGACGTACTGATTGAATGACATCTGAAACATTCGGTTCTGATAAGTTCAATCTATTTAGGCGAGTGGGTGATATTTGGTAAATATTATCTAATAACTCACCAAATTGCTCATCCGAAACTAAACAAAATCAGTATTAGTTTTAAGTAAATTATTATAAAGTATTAAGTAGATTTAGGATAACCAACTCACCAGCCACGTGGGCAACAGCGGAGCTGTTAGTCCGTGTGACTCAAGCATAGTGCTGGCACAGCCTTTAGGCTCAGTGCGAGCTCATAAACCCGAGCAACAGCGGGTAACTCCGCTAGCGTTTATAATATGAAGTAGGAGCATTGATGTTTTGGTGGGATATGGTTCAAGGTAAAGAATTATGGAATTAAATGTGTATATTGTGTTATAAGCAAGGAGTTAATCCATATGATGTTCAGTTTAGATTAAATATCAGGTGACTATACAAAGTTAGCAAACTAATGCAAAGAAATCAATTTTAACAAATAAAATTTAAATGATATAATATTAAAAGCCTATCAGCCTTCTGGCTAGCAGAAGTTTCTTTAATTGCAGATGTGGAAATAAGCATAAAAGTGTTATCCATGCCTAACACTAAAGTGGCAATAGTCAGATGGCTTTTTAGAGTGTGTAGATTCAAGTGAACAGCTTCAACGGCAGTTGATGGTCGCTTTGGTAGGGCGGTGTACTTTTTTGGTGATATTAAAATGAATGGTTATCGAAATCTGATTTTTCATTAGGTGGCTCATTAGTGAGTAGACAACTTTACCACGCTTGCTTACCTCGTCCAATAGTAATCAAGATACTTGATTTTTTAATCTGTGCGCCGACATATGGCTGCGATTGGCTGTATAATTAATTCTTGGCAGATGTTAGCAAATGATAATCTAATTGTTCCGATTGGTTAATATAAATCAGGTGGTTGGTTTATTGGTTGCCGGATATCAGATTTTTCCGGACATTTCAAAGTTGTTGGCTGGAAGTGGGACAGAACTCAAACGCTGTGGGCGAGAAAGCAAAATCAAGGTCGGTCATACCGGAGCATGCGTTAGTGCGGTGATAGAATCTCTGAGGGGTCTTACTCGAAGCAGACTTGGTAGATTAATTATTATAAACTCGATCCCAAATGTGGTTTGGCGGTGAGGTGATGCGCGCATGAGGGAAAACTAGTGCTGAGCTATGGCGGAGTAATGAATGGCGGTAGCTTGAGGTGCGGCGAGGCGTTCTGAACCTTGATGGAATATAAAGCATAAAAGAGGTTGGTGCCGTCAGTTGAGAGTCTTAATGTCAGCTCCTCATAGAGGGTTTGGGGTATGAACTGAGACAGGAGCTTCGCAAGTTTATTACAGCATCAGGTAAGAGTTCGAGTGGTAGAAATAAAAGTATTTTTTTGCAATTAACTTAATTTTGGCCGCTGGGACAGCATCTTTTATAGTTTATAAGTGAAATATCAAAATGCCCTTAAAAAGGGAAGAGTTCGATTAAATCTGCCGGTATAAATGACCCAGTACCAAATTAATCTTTTGTTGGCATGGGAAGATGCGAGCGTACTTGCCGAAATGGGCCAATGATCTATGCTAGTGCGGTGTGAGGTGATACTTATGACATTAAATTTAATGTATTTAAAAATTAGAGTTCTCATCAGTGGATCATGTTGGCGGGTATGCGCTTTCTGTTTATAAAGCTAAAAATTGACCCTGAAGCCATCATTACACAGTTAAGGTAATATGACATGTTATGATAGCTTTTGTTTATAAGATTATCTTTACTATCTTTAAACTTAAATAGTTTGAGTGTGAGGTTATAAATTAGTAAGTAGAGCTTATACGAGTCTACACTTTTAGAAAGCTAATATCATTTTCTTTCAGGAAAAGCTGCTATTCATCTAAACGTTTCATATTCTCTTAACTTGGATGACTATGTTTTTGCTTGTATACTTAGTTCTTCAAATAAAATGGATTGTGCTACTTTCATTCAAGCTTTTTTTAATTTATTTTGCAAATCAATTTAGGCTAAGTCACAAATTACTAAACTCTGATCCAAAGGGCCTTTTATTAATAAAAAATGTGTTATATTATATTAAATATCGAATTACTTAAATGTTTGATTATCGTTTTTGCAAGTATTTTTAAGTTTATTATATATCATTTCTAATAAAATTTGAATTAAAATTAATAGTAGACGTGAGAAAAGTGATACTCGTGAATTTTACAATTATACTAATAAAATAAAAATAAAAATAAAAATAATTTTAAAATATGGGTTTATTAAAAATTGTAGCTTGTCACTACAAAATAGTGCACCGGCCCGCTCTGGGCCCAGCCCCGCAACCAGCCTCGCGACCCGCCCTGCGGCCTCTTGAGGCCCTTGGGGCCCTAAAAGGCCTGCCAACGACCGTTGTGGTCGTTATAACCACCCGCCCATCAGGGCGAGTGGTTCTTGTGGTTCGTGTGTTTGGAATAAACCTATTATTTTGATTAACCATACCTCCCAATCATTCAGATTTCCTGTATTTATACCTTTGAAGTATTATACCATCTTTTTAATAATCATGATATAGATACTATTATAGTTATAAAAAGATTTACCCCTATTTAGCTTACTTTATAAGGTTATACAAAAAATCTTGTTTGAGATATACTAAAGTAATATTGATGATTGAGTTAAAATAAAAAGCTAACCTTTATTATAAAACCTAGGGGATGTAAGTCCCAGGTGTTGAAGTAACCGGTACCAAATATATAATTTGGAATTTAAGAGTATATTTACCCAAAATAAAAAACTATTGCAACATTTTGTAAATTTAATATTTAACAGGCTTACCAAGCTTTAAAGTACATGTGACTTCAAAATGTCTATCTCCTTACTCCATTCTCAAGTTAATTTTAAAGTTCCTCTCAAACTCATAAATTTTATACTTTTATTACCCCACAAAGTTGGTTTGAGCTGATATTACTATTGAACCAAGCTCACAAATAATTACTCCTTGGAGACCCCTTTTCATACCCTCATGTTAATTGAGCCAACCATTCTCCCCAAACCTTAGATACTTTGACAAATTTACCAAAATCATCCCCATAGGTATCTTTTGTGAAATATTATTGGCAGAAGCTCATAACAAAGCCACCAACTAGTTTTTTGTGATTTTGATTTTTGTTTTAAATTTATATATAATGCATGAAGAAAAACTTTGTACCCCTTTTTAAGCATATTGCGCGCAAGGAGGAGTGTGAAATTTGGCATAGTTAAAGTTTATATGGGGAAGGAGTGCAGAAAGCTAAAATTTATATATTTTTTCATAATAAAACAAAAGTTTTGTATACAAGAATTGAAAATACAGGGTGGTTAGCCTGGCTGGGTAATTCCTGCTTCCACCCTAGTGCAGGTTTTGTTCAATACAAGTTCGAAACCTGTACTGGCTAGAAAAATTCTCGATGTGGTATTTGTCCCAAGGTCGACCCAAATAGTATATTATAAACAACCAAAACCACTAACCACTTACCAAAACCAATAACTTATCGAATCAACCAATCACTAACTGCTTACTAAAATCATCAAGCATATTAATCAATTCAAAACCACCACCCGCTTAGCAAAGCATTTAAACTATTGAATCAACTGAATATCAAACTCCTCAGCCCGTAACAATATAACGATTAAGATTAAAAACAGCATTTTCAATTCTTAGTATTCGAGGTGGATCGACCTTGGGACAAATATACCACACCGAGAATTTTTCTAGCCAGTATAGGTTTCGAACTTGTATTGAACAAAACCTGCACTAGGGTGGAAGTAATTTCATCTGGCCAGGCTAACCACACTGTTTTGGTTGTTTACTTTTACTTTATTCGAGGTGGGCCGACCTGGGGACGATATCGCACCGATTAAGGGAAATCGAATGAATGGGAAAGGAGGATAAAATCCGGAAAACCTCCACGCGTGGCGTATGATAGGCCAGAAACTCCATGGACCGCCTTTGCTATTCGCTATCTCAGTTCGGGGCATTGGTGCGCAACGCCAACACAGTGGTTTTGGTTGTTTAAATAAGTTTAGATTTGTCTTACAAAGAGGTTGGTGATTAGTTGATTTATTGTATTCAAAGGTTTTAGTTATTGGCAAGTAGTTGGTAGTTTTGGTTATTTTGATTTCGATAGGTTTAGTTTCTCAAAGCAGTTGGTCATTGATTATTTTATTATATTCAATAGTTTAGCTAAGCGGTTTAGTGGTTTATCAATATGAATTATCTGATAAACTATAAACATTGTAGCGAAGCACGGGTATCTGGATGCTAGTTACAATATAAAAATCTTGAGATGAAAGAAGTCATTTGCTACAAAACACCTTCCTTGTTGGGATATTACTTAAATCTACTAATTATGATACTATATATAAAAGA